CATATAAGATATGTTTACATACAATGTTAACCCGATCTTTATTTTTATCACTCCAGAATGTTTGATATTGTACTCTTACTCATTTTTAACAAGCTTGCAATTTCGCGAAATAACTTTCCTTTTCTCTGATGGAAAATCACTAATTCCCGCATATCAAAAGACGTGTTTTTATTTCTACAATCCATTTCGCATGAATTTCAAAGATTGATGAATACTCAATTTCCAATATTCTCTATACATAGTCTGAGCATTGTGTTTATAAATATTGTTCTATTGACTTTCTGGGAATTGGAAATTCGTGAAATATGCCTAGTGTCTGAATATTTTTGTGATCTCGGAATTGGTTACTACTTCCTTCCTTTTTTATTATTTAAACAGCTATATATACTAAATAAATGGTTTTTGTATTTTTGTTAACTAGAAACTATAATGCAACATAGCATAATACACGTTTCGTTTATTGTATATTTACGTAAAATACAGAGAAGAATATTCAAAATTATAGGTGTGCCCGAATATTTTTGTGATTGACTGTACATACTTTAATTAGTAGAATAGTTTTATCTATAGGCATTTTAAATAATTATGTTCAGGTAATTATTAGCAAATAAATTGTTAAAATGTATTTATATAGTATAATTTTATGTATGAATTGTTATAGTATAATTTTAAATATTTAAAAAGTACTGTTTTAGTTTTTCAATATACATGTTTACATATATGACTATAAATAGATTTTGCAAAAAATGTATTGAAGTTTAAAAGATACAAAAAAAAATTTATTGACAAGATTTTTGATAAAAGATACATATAAACTTCTTATTACTTAAAATATATTTCAGTTTCAATATTTTACTAATTTGTGTTTGTTCACAACTTTTATAACAGTATTTTTTATTTTAGAGCTAATGTTTCCCATAGTTTGTCTTTTTTCATAACATTAATAATCATTTCTTGACTAACAGACCATAGTCTGGTTGCAAGTGTAGGATCTAATGCAGTGTTCGATGGATCACAACGATAGCAGTTATTGAAATAAAATCCTGTTACTCCTTCCAATTCTGGTGCAGTTGCACAGAAAACTGATGTACTGGCAGCTTGTTGCTGTAAAGTTTAAGGAATTATAACTAGATTTGTCAAAAGTTCTTATTTTAAACAAATAATTGTAATACCAGTGATTTTGTAAAAGGTCGCACAAGTGTAAATAATAACCGTAGTGTCCATGAATAACGAGCTAACGATGAAGAAACCATGTTACCGGGATGGCAACTCAAGACATTTACAGACGGCCAACGTTTTGCTAATTCTTGTGCGAATAAAATATTACATAATTTGGAATTGTTATATGCCTCCATAGACCAATATTTATATGCAGGAGGGGATAGAAGTAATTGGTGGAAATCTTCTACTGTTTGCAGAGATGAAAATCTAATTGTAAAAATAATATATGACACATTGATTTTCATTTAAAAAAGTAAAAGAATTTTATTATTTTATAATATATGCAAATTTATATTTGTTAAAAAGTTTTGGATACCTGTGTGATTCACTTGAAACTATTACCACTCTAGAATTATGACAACTTCGTATTGGATGTTCTAATAAAAGGGTGAGGTAAAAGTGTGAAAGATGATTTACTTGAAATGTTGTTTCATAACCATCTTTTGTGAGTTGATAAGGAATTGCAAACACTCCAGCATTTAATATAAGGATATGTAGAGTTCTGAAAATGTAAATTAATGTGGTTGATATATTGCAATAACATTTTGCTATTGATGGATATTACTCCTAATTTAAGATTACCTATATTTTTGTTTAAATTTTTCAGCTGCTTCTCTGACACTGTGCAATGATGATAAATCTATCTGTAATACTTCACATGTTACATTTTCTACTTCTTGCTTTATTTTTTGTACTGCCTCTGTACCCTTTTCTAAATCTCTACAAGCCAAGATAACTTTACATCCATGCAAAGCCAGTGATCTAGCAGTTTCAAAACCTTAAAAAATAGAATCAATTTAGAATTTAGTTATAAAAGAAGAAGATAAGTACAAGAAAATAATAATAATGTTAAATTTTTTATACTTTTATCTTCTTTTATATCTATCTTATATTAAAAAGGTGTTCAAAAATATATGGGTTCATTTAATGAGAGTTTACTGTTATTACCATTGGTTATTGGTAATGCAAATGCTATGAAGTAGGTGATATAAGTATAGTATTAAATATGAAATAACAATAAGTATTATTTACCTATTCCTGTATTGGCACCTGTAACTAGAGCAATTTTGCCTCTTAAATCTCGGCCATGTAAAACAGCTAATGCTGTGCTACTTCCATCAAAACGTTGTCTTACAGGCTGCGACAACTCTCTATACTCCGTAGCAAATGCAAGTCGTGGATCAGTATAGGTGGTTGTACGATTCATGTGATCAACAAACAAAATTTGACCATCTTCTGACACACATTTTTCCCATCCAGATGGTAATTCTTTTTAACAAATAGTGATATCAAGTTTTATTCATAAAGACTTTGTAACTTTATAACTTTTTAATAACTATATAATTATTAATTAATTTGAAAATACATAGGTTTAAATATTTAAATGCCATAAACTGCATTTATATGGTATAAATAATCAATAAACAATATAAATGCTTTGTATTAATATATAAATTCACATTATACCCCCTTCAACAATCTTTGTACGACCAGTTCTAGGATGTGTCCACTGAGTGCCTTTTGTGTAGTGACTAAAATAAAAAGAAGTAGTGTTACAATTTGAATAATATAACTTTAAAATTATATATTACAGAAAACACTATTTCATATTAACTTATATAACATAATCCTACAGTTTGTTAATGTAAAATGATAATAATAACAACAACAATAACAATAGAGTAATAATAAAATAAATGTATTATAATGTCTATTACTTACTTTACATAATAGACGTTTCCATTGGCAGTTGTCATTTCCTCCCATCCAGGAGGTAATTCATCCTCACTATCAGAATCATTTAAGTTGCCAAACATTTTTATCTTACATCAGTTTGTATCTAATTCATAATTATCTAATTAGTATTTATTGAATATGTCAACACAGATATCATAAATCCATATAATAATATCTATGTGTTTTCAACATTACAATTGAAGAAAAATGACGTGATAATACAGATGTTGTTGCAAAATGTAAATTTTAATATTAAAAAATGTAATACACAATAATTATACATTTATATAATAAAGACAAAATAATTAAGCAGTATAATCGAAAACATGTTGATCTTACTATTAAATAATGCATTATTCTATGTCCAACATTTTTGATATATACACATATGTAAACTGCTGGAAAGTACAGATGAAATTATGTTATGATTCAAACTATCGAGTGTCAGACATAAACTAATATACGGCGCACTTTTTTGCACATTGTCTAGTGATATCTTGCTAGTTACTTCTGACAATCTGAAGTTCATGCCGTTTCATCCTTATTTTCTAGCAGCATATACAGGGTGTCCCGTAACTCTTCGAAGATCCGGAAATGGGGGGTTGCTGGGGTGACTCTGAACAACTTTTTCCTTGTCCAAAATGTAGTTTGAAGCTTCGTTTTCGAATTATTAACGAAAAACACTGGCCAATCACAACGCCCGTAGCACCCGCGCTCAGGGACGAGCGAACAGAGATTCACCCGCGCGCTATCGTGAACGACGCGTATGCGTGACTTCTCGGTTATCGATCGCTGTCAAAAAAATTTGACTTTACACCGCTATTTTTATAAGGCTTACAGAAATGGTTTTTTGCCGTCATTCCGACGTTTGTATAAATTTTTGAAAAAACTGCAATTAGTCGGAATCGCGAAGAAAATAGCGAAGGTCGTTTTTACAACTTTTATATCTGAGCTCGTAATGAAAATTTAAAAAATACGTTTTGTAGATCTATGTCAATGATATACACACGCTGAAAATTTCATCGAAATCGGTTAATGTTTCTATGAGCTACAAACGGTTAAAGATTGTGAAAATCGCACTATCACGACTTTCGGCGTAAAACTGTAATAAATCTGCAGATTCTTACATCTTTCGATGCCTGTCGCTTGTTTCTCCATCCACCGATTTCGATGAAATTTTCAGCGTGTGTATCCATTGACATTGATCTACAAAACGTATTTTTTTATTTCATGAATAACAAATAAGTCGTTTAATAACTGTGTTCGATACTTTTATTCGTTACCCGAAAGGAATAAAGTGTTTTATTACTTATGAAAAACTTACTCATTCATCCACGAATGAACCTGCTTCGACGGAAGTGGGTCGTTGGCACTGGGTCAGTGTGTCAATCCTGACCTTTCCAGGTAATCCGAAACAGCTGATGTTACGGTCGGGCCGATGAACTCACTTCACTGTATTTTTTTTTCACTGTCACTTTCACTTGCCACTGGGAAAGTGGAGAAAAAAACAAAAGACGTCGCGGCGTTCGACGTCTTCTTTCCGCATTCGACGTTTATTGTTGTCGATAGCGATGTTTCTTGTTTCTTTACTAACGCTCAGCGGTGAACTCACTTCCCCGCACCGATCAATTTCTCTTGCCACTGGGAAAGGTTGTTATGTTTGTGAACAATTTGTTGTTCCTACGTTTAAAAATGAAGGCCGCCGCATCTGGTGCATGTTCTCCAGGATGCAATTCGCGGTATCGCGCAGCGGCAACGATGGCATTGCCATCGCACTGCGCGAATATAAAAAACATTTCGTACTGCTGCGCGTTCGTACGATGCATGTTTCTCTTACGGTTGGCAAAATTACTCTGCCAGTTTAAGCGTTTCCTGGGTCCTAGATGGACGTTCCTTAAGGAAGGGATATTTTTACAATAGAACGGAGGAGAAATGTTTATTACTGGAAAGCCTGAGTAGCAAGCAGTTTTGGAGTCGACCTTGGAGTCTACATTAAAAAGTACCCATGCGCTCGGGGCGGTCGCATTATTTTCGTCACCACGTGTCCGGATAGCGAAATGTTTTACGCCCGTAGCCACCAAGTCTAGGAAAAATCGATGAATGGGAAATTTTCTATGCCCCTTTTTGGGGCATTTTTTAAATGAAACCATATATTTTTTTATGTGCCAATCAATGCATATTTAAATTCTCTTCAAAAAAAAGTATTAGAGAACTTAGGTCGAAAATTGATTAATTTAGAAATTATGATTTTTGTCCCGAACGCCCATAACTCGAAACACTGCGTCTCACCGAGATTCAAAGGGAATCTCTTAATTCTTACTCATGCGCTCTAGGTTGCTCGAGTGTCACGTGGTGACGTAGATAATTGGCGGAAAGAGCCGAACAGGCTTCGCACACTGCAGAGCTACCGCTACACTTGTGTGAGAGCACAAGAACGGTATAGTAGGAGACGGCAGTAGGTCATAGTGGGGGTAACTGCTTTCGTCCACGGCCCATGATTCTGGTATCACTCGACGGTAGTTTTATGTAGAATGGCATACAATGTGCAAGCGTAAATCATTTTAACATCAGCCGTCTAATAATTTGCACTGAAGCGGTAATTAATAAATAAATCTGTATTACAAAGAAAAAACATTGTTCTGTTTAAAATCTAGCTATGATTTGTTTGTAAAATGTCGTTAATTTGTAATACTTTATAGTTAATTATAAGCATTGAAAGTGCTTAAGAAATAAAATATTACAGTAAAGAAATTTGTATTTTGGTAATAAAGTTTCAATCTTGTTACTCTTCAATCATCATGTCAATATTTTTTCTTTTTACAAAAGTATGCATTCTGTGTTATATTATTTGTAGTTGATGATGGTTTCACTGCATTAATAATAACATATAATTCAAAAACCTTTCTTCATGAAGAAGGGTGTCAATGTATTTTCTGCAATTCTTCGAAAATGAAATGGGTTGACGTTTGTATAATTTGCGCCGTTAGTGTCGACTTACATAAGTACTAATTTATTTACTTGTATTCTGAATACTTACTTAAATCTATCTGTTAATACTTACGTTTTGTATACACATAAAATATTTATTTATGTATGTTTCTTGCGTATTAATAAATACATGCATATATAAACGCTTGTAACGATACAGATTTAATACAAGAAGTAGTATTATTAAAAAAATATATTAAATAAGAATGTAAATTGTTTCAAATTAAAAGTACGAAGTATGTAAGCTCAAATTTAAATATACTCGAGGTTCCATTCTGAACGAAGTTAACTACGAGCCGCACCCGCATTTTGCGCACAATCGATAGCAGATTTCATTTCTGTCAAATGGATAATGGCAGCGACGGCAATTGATATGATGTTGCAGAGCAGTGAATTTCAGTTAAAAAACAAAGAGGACCCAGGAAATACAGACAATTTGTGGTATGTTTAGAAAATGCACTTTTGAAAAATTTTTTAATGTAAAATATATACACTAGAGACAATTATACATATAAATATTTTGAGGTTCATCTTGCATGCCACATATCACAAGTAAGAAAATTAGTCATGTTTAATATTTTACCATGTATTATACTTGTATTACGTTCTTCTTTACACAGGTCCTCTATTTTGGCTGATGTACAAAATAGTAGCAGTAACAAATTACCATCAAATAAAAATATTCTTCTTTTAGGTAAGTTTAAATTGTCAGTGTTCTTCATTAATGCAAAGTTCTGAAAAGATATAAGTGCTATACGTAGATATTGTGTTAATTCCACATATGGTTTTATTTTGACAATATCATCTTTAATGTATACTTATTAATGTGCTTGATATTTAAATATTTCATTTCTCTGTACGATTGCTTGATTATTATATATTTTGTTTCTTATTTTCATTAATGCTTGACAGGTTAATTTTATATATGACATAAAAAAAATATGAAAGTCATCTTTTAGTCATATGAATTATAAATGTTTACAATGTATGTTATATAATAAAGATTTTTATTAAGTGTTTATACATATAAGTAATGTAACAACTAATTCATCTATAGGTGATAATGAAAGTGGAAAAACAACACTTATTGCTAAATTACAAGGTGTTGAAGATCCAAAGAAAGGTTCTGGCTTAGAATTTGCATATATTGATGTGAGAGATGATTATAGAGATGGTAATATTAATTCAAGATTATCTGTGTGGGTATTAGATGGAGACCCTGGTCATGTAAATCTTTTGAGATTTGCATTAAATGCAGAAAGATATCCACATACACTTGTTATGTTAGTAGCTGCAATGACAACCCCATGGTCCATTCTTGAACAACTTGAAAGCTGGGCTTCAATTTTAGCACATCACATTGACCAATTACATATAGATAATGATACTTGGCAACGTTGCAAGCAGCTTAGTGAGTCATTCCTTTCTTAGTTTAATAACTAAGAACTTTTTAATAATAAAGAGCTATTCTAACAAATATTCTTTGATATTTTCTAAGAGTACAACATTTATTTGTTTTATAAAATAACTTTTTAAGTTTTATACATTGTTTTTATATATTTAGATATGAAAAAATGGCAAGATTATACAGAGCCTGGTGATGAGTTAGATCCTGGTAGCCCTTTAAGGCGTACTAGTCGTAATTTAGATGATGAAGCAATTGATAATTTACCATTACCAGATGGAGTACTTACAACAAATTTAGGTCTAGATATTGTTGTTGTTATTACAAAAACTGATTATATGTGTACTCTTGAAAAACAGCATGATTACAAGTAAGATTACAGTATCAACACAAATAAGTGATACAATTATTATTAATTGTAAGAAATTGTTGGATTGGTTTGTCAATTTAAATTATTTGTAGGGATGAACATTTTGATTTTATGCAACAGTGGATAAGACGGTTTTGTATACAATATGGTGCAGGATTATTCTACACATCAGCAAAGGAAGATAAAAACTGTGATTTACTTTATAAATATCTCACACATAGAATTTATTCGTTACCATTTAGAACACCTGCTTTAGTTGTTGAAAAAGATGCAGTTCTTATGTATGGAATTTTCATTAATTAAAAATTTATAGATTTTTTCTGTGATTTTAAAATATTTTTAATTGCAGTCCCGCTGGTTGGGATAATGCGAGAAAGATTAGCATTCTTTATGAAAATTTGCAATCAATGAAACCAGATGATTATTATAGACATGTCATTGTACCACCACCAACAAATAGAAAGGTATGTGTGTATAATAAATTATTCTTTTACCATGCAATTTGTAATAAAACATTTTCTTAATTAGTGTGTAGCCAGAGAAGTAGAAGTACGGGCAGAGGAAGAACAACTTTTCTTAGCAAGACAACAAGCTGTAGTACTAGGCCTAAGAGAATCAACACGTTCTCCCAGGAATCAGGCAAGCACCGGGCCAGTTTTTCAGGTTATACCATTTATAATTAGAGTATGCTTGTCATGTTACATGCAATTAATTAATAATCATTCAGCATTGAATAATAACGACGTTTTTGAAGTAAATTTATATGTCAATTTCACGTATGCAGTCACCATATTTTCACTCGTTAACAGACAATGCTTGTTCATATTAAAATTATCTTGTCTTTAATACTTTGAAGGGACAAATACCCTTAGGATGTAATTATCTGGCACAGCATTTATATTTCATAACCAATTTTTTGTATATTAATGTTAGGATCATTCAGTGTTTCTTCATGTTGACATTAAATCATTTAGATAAATTCATGCATTGCTTATTGTTTCTATATTTTTGTATTTAAGTTAGTAGCTTCCATTATGCAGTTACAAGATAACATGTTCTATAATAAATTATATTGCATATCCCTACATTTTAGAATGTAAGCTGACAATTATTTCAGAATGTTAATATGCATATTTTGTTAGATTTAGAATATATAGAAAATATATTTGTATCTATAATTTTTAAACTCTTCGTTGTATGAATAGTATTCTAAATTTGAATCATGTACTCTGTTGTTCAGTAATTCGGTTTTGAATGAGAGCGTTATGTGCTTTTTACAATTAACAATTGAAAGCATGTTCTAATTTTTGTGGTGTGATCTGTCATCGATATGGCAAAAAATTGAATTTTGCAAATATTAAATATTTTATATGCAGGTGGCATCGCCAAATAAAAAATTGGATCCCAAAACTTCACAATCCGGAGAAGGTATTTTAGCTAGCTTTTTCAACAGTCTTCTTCACAAAAAGACTGGATCTCCTGGGTCACCAGGTAGTGTAGGCACGAGTCCGGTAAAAACTGGTAAGTATTTCAGCGTACTATAAAGTTTTAACATGCACCGGCGTTTTATAACATTTGCAGATTAAAAATTTGATTTCTGGTTTATTCTTTATTTTAGATAGTGCACCGGTAGATAAAGCCACTATGTGTAGTGATGAAGGCGTGGAATTGGACTCAGTTGCTAAAACGAAGCAAATATCACCCCCTAATTTAAATTCGTCATCTGAATGTTAATGGAAATATATTTTTTTTTGCGACCCATTTACTAAATTATGAGCCATAAATGTGAGTATTTTAATAAAATCTTGGAAATAACCGAACAGACGTGGGATATATTACATGATGTTCATTACACAATTTACCGTTTTTGAAATTGGTATAAGAATTATATTAAGCTGTTTTTTTATATTTGTATTAATGGTATTATCATATATATGTATAATAACATGTAGTAATTTACTAATTTATAATAATTCGTTTATCCTTATTATATTTTATGCCACATATTGTGGTTAATAGATATTTTTAACACTTATTTTAATGCATTTGTTTTAAAAATAGTCACGATTTTTAACAATTCGTCATAAATAATAATAAAATATTGTGCAAAGCACAAATATTTAGTTGAATTTACTAAGGCAAAAATATGTAACATTATATTACATTTATATGAAATTGTTACAAGATATTATATTAATTTATAAAATGAAGCACAATGGCATAACTTAAAATAATATTTTAAATAGTTTCCTTAGATAATAGATTACATGTCTTTTGTTTATAAATTATTTGCACATTCCTAGTATTATAGTTCGTTTAACCTTGGCATCATCATAGAGTCAATTGTTTGTTATAAATGTACCATAACAAATTTAATCAAACGTAAAATGGGTCGCAAAGAATTGGAATTCGATTTATTAAAAGCAGTTTAACTCGATTCAGATTTAAATGCGCAGCGGAGAAATAGGAAATAACGATATCTCACAAAATTTTCAAACAGCCTTATTTGTTATGTTTGAGTAAATATCAATAACGATACAAAGTAACAGCTAGAGAGTTATTAAATCAATGTAATTAAATATTTAATATAGTAATACATTCTAATTATGCTTACGCACATCTCTCTATACCTTGTTATAGTAAATTATTTAATGATCGTCAACAGAGTACATACTGCTCTTAAATGAACGAATACTTTCGTTTCTTCTAATAAATGAACAGCTTTATTTATATATCGTTCTAGTTAATAAAAGTTGGCTGGATAATCCTCTCTTGTATTTGGTCTAATTTATAAAGTGCCGTTACTGTAACGAGAACGAGTCATACGAATGCGTGAGATAGAATTTTATACCAGTGTTAGATTTAGGAGAGATTTCTTAGTCAGAGTTACTGGCTTGGTTTTGATTTAAAGAACATAATGTGGAATGAATTTTCGTGGGCATGATTACTAAGGGAGAGAAAGTGTGACACGTCATTCTTTTGTCAACTTCTAAAAGAATTTTATGTAAAAGAAAAAAATCTGTATATTCAGTTATCAGCGATGTGGCTTTCTGTATGTGAAATAACTAAAATAAATAATTTTTCATAAGTATGAGTTTTATTGTTAATATACTGATTGCACTTTCGTGCAACCTGAATTGCAGTAAAGCTTCTCACAGTGTCCACCAGTACAGAACTTAAACAGGGCAGTTTGGGAAGCAGAGACACTGTTTTCGAGCTTTGCAACCCGCCTTTGTAATTTCCAAACGAAGATAAAGATAACGAATAAAAGAGAAGGATGAAACGAGACTCGAGGCAACCAAGCGATTTAAACACCAGCGTTTTTATTTTTAACTTATTCTGTATGAAAAAGTTAATAACATATTGATGAGATTGTTCTGATCAAAATGAGACCAAACACAATATAATTTGAACAACATTTACTTATTAATACTTATTGAGTGATTAATTTCAGTTTGTAATATATCGCTTTGGATGAATTACAAAAACGAATTGCTAGAAAAATACATTAAATATCTGTACACATTGTTCGTTGAATGTGGAGGGAGAGACACCGTTTGGTGGACAGTGTGAGGGCCGAGATACCCTTTGGTTATTTGCAATAACCGAGAAGCGATTGAATAATTGTGCGTCCACCCTAATTTCGTCTCCGGATATTTCTGACACAAGGAATCAAAAAATCATTTTGCTCAAAAATACATAATAGAAAAGTTGTGAACAATAAAAAAAAAAAACATTGAAAAATTTTTTAAAACTTCCAAAAATTTTCCTGAGCTGAAATACATTTATACTTTTTATCAAAATATATCTTCGCTACAAGCTTCTGATAAATTACTCGAATGTAACCCTTTTAACCCTCACACTGTCCACCAAACGGTGTTTCGATTCTCACACTGTCTACCAAACGATGTCTCTCCCTCCACATTCAACGGACAATGTGATATCCAAAGCGATATATTATAAAATAAAATTAATCACTCAATAAATATTAATAAGTAAATGTTGTTCAAATTATATCGTGTTTGATCTCATTTTCATCAGAAAAATCTCACCAGTATGTTAACACGTTAGCGCCATGTCAGTCACCGGTGACTGACACTATACTTTCCGTTCGGACTGCGTCAGTCACTGTTGACTGACGATATGCAATTTAAAAAATTATATTCTCCTATTAATAAATTTGAAATAATTTGGAGATCATAAAAGAATGTACCTAAATATTACTTGGTACCAAAAAAAAAATGTTAATGAGTATTATTAAAACATGCAGTCTTATCGCAACTTTATACAGATCTCCTTATGAAATCGGATATCGCGGGCTAAATGGAAAGGAAGACAAAACAGGCTTGGCACTTAACGTGTTAAAAAAATTGTGAGATAAAAAAAGGTAAAATTAAAAAAGTTATTCTATTATGAACTATCATGCTGTGAAATCTCATAAAAAAAACTGGGTCTCGTAGCGTTACACGCTTGACTGACTACAAGTAAGATAACATAGGCGCAGGAATAACGCAGATCTAGGCGTAGCACCATCTATATGGACAATGTGAGAGAATTTACTGTATAATGATTTTTGAAAGGATGAATAAATGTTAGTATGTGTGAGGTTGTTTTTATTGGGAGCGTGATTTAAGAGAATAAGTCAGAGACTGAGTGGAATGAATGAGAGATGAGATGCGAGAGACATTTCTAGAAGCGAATGGAAAGTATTGGCGAAGAAGAAGACAAAGGAGTGTGTGTAGAGAAGTATCTGAGTTGTATTGTGTATATAGGATGTTTAGTTAGTTAGTAAGTATGACAAATAAACAGTAAATATAATATAAATGTGTGTGTTAATCATCCCATTATCCGAGATCTCATAGTATGTACATATGTACGTATAGTATGTACAGCTTTCTTCCTTAATCCATACAAAAATTAAGAATATAAGATTCTATAATTTGCTCGATACTTGTTTATGCCTATCCTTAATATATAAGTATTTGGATGAATGTTTAATGTACCACCGTTTGTTATCAGGTTGGACAAATGTATTTATTGTTTTAATTTCATTGAATATAATCGAGATTATATGCATAGTCTGGTAAAATAATACGCATGTTAAAATAACAATACGTAATTAAATATATCCGCATTATAATTTTGCCAAAGGTATAGACAATACAATGAGATTATTAATTAGTTACCCAATTTTGTAAATGTAATTAGAATAAGAATAGAAATAATTCTAATGGAATTTCATATTAGACGAAGTATTTGCTGTTAGAATGAAAATATAAAGAATTCTGTTTTTTAGTTATATTAACTTTTTGTTGACTCCATAATAAAATTTTATGATCTCATTGTAATGTGTTTACAATTTTTTTTATGTGCTATTAGTTAATATTTTTATGATATCATTCTACAGAAATACTATGAAACAGGAATGGCTTAAAAGCTACACGTTGCTTTAATTTATGTCTTGTCTTGTGTTATCTGCATTAAGACTCCAAATTAACGAATAATCAAGGATAACACTATAACAAATAGTGTGTATTAATAGACTTTATAAAATGTAATTATTCGTCAATCAATTTTGGTTTAGTATCGATGTTTTGATGAAATAAATGTTTCTTTTTTTTATTGAACTTCAATTGTAATTACTCAATAACTTCATCACTTTTTCTATTAAATTCAAGATGAATATAATTTTGTGTGATTTAAGTTTTTAAAAATGGAGCCTTAAATTAGATTTAAACGTTTAATACTTTTTAGTATTGATTTACTTATTTTAAATCTAGTTAATTATTGATTTACTTATTTTAAATCTAGTTAATAAAATTTATTTTCTAAATATAGTAACTGCCTCGCAAAAAATTCTAAAAGGGGGTTGTAAATGGAAGAGCAATAGTTAAAAAGCACTGCATAACATTCTGGAGATGTTTATAATTAAGATTAATTTATAGATAAAACCATAAATGTCTACGTCGTGTGTTATAGTTTATTATTAATGAATTTGAATTGAATTTATTTCAAGCAAATGTTTTACCACTATGAAATTTATATTATATACTTTTATCATACCTAATACACATTCATTTAATGTCTTCAGAGTAGAATGTATTACTACAAATTCAAGTAGCCAGAAAATATGTAATTAATTATCATTCCAAAAAACATACCTATAAATTTTATACTTCACATTCTAAGATAAATAGACCACATTGTTTCGAATAAAACAATTTTGTAAAAATTTTGTAGAACATAATTATGGTTATATCTATACAAGTAAATTTTAATTATAATGTAATATTTGCTAGTGTATTTAAAAACTGTTAATTGTTGGAAGTTAAAATTTTTTAGAAAATTCACGAAGCAAAAGTGTAAAAAAATTTTTACGAAAACGAATATTTTTCGAAAAAAGAAGAAGAAATAATATACGCAAAATGCTAAATGCTAAGTTTTACAGTAAAAAAATTCATGTCGATAATTTTTTAATTTTGAATACGATACTAAATTTTGTTTCCACTCCGCTACATACATTTTTTTCAATGTTTATAATTGATGAGCAATATTTTTCTTACACTTTTCCGTGTATAATGTGTATTGTTAAAAAAACAATTGTAAACTTGAGATTAATAAAATGGAAGGAAAGAAGATGCAAAATCTTGTAAAGATTTTTCGTGAGCCAACAAAATGTTCATCTTAATGTTCGTTAAAGGTTGATTACCCTTTCAAAACTTTGCTTCCCTTTTTCTTTATTAATAAAAAGAAATAAAATTGATGGAATTATTCTATCGTCTAGTAAGACATGGATAGTTACTAGTATAATATTATACC